GTTGCGGTGAGCGGGGGCTGCTCTTCATTGCAATGCACGGGCTTCTCATTGCAGTGGCTTCTCTGGTTGTGGGGCATGGGCTCTAGGTGCGTGGGCTTCAGTAGTTGTGGCACGTGGGCTTAGTAGTTGTGGCTCACAGGCTCTAGAGTGCAGGCTCAGTAGTTGTGGTGCATGGGCTTCGTTGCTCTGCAGCATGTGGGATCGTCCCGGACCAGGGCTCAGACTTGTGCCCCCTGCACTAGCAGGTGGATTCTTAACCACTGAGCCACCAGGGAAGTCCCCCTATGTATTGTTGACACACAAAATTAATCATCACAAGTCCACTCCTTGTCAACCTGGCACTCATATGCACCTTCTTAAACTATACTTAATCTCCAAAAAATACATTAACAAGATCATAATTCCACCTAACATGATACAACTGTTCTGTGTATAACCAGAAACGTACTAATCCCTTCCCCAGAAGAGGTAATATAATGTCCTTGAGTGATGTTTACTCTTCTCCTTGATATCCTATAACTTAAATACTGTGATATAAAGTCAATATATCTTATGTTACACAATTAGGGAATAAGAGAGGGAAGAAAACAAAGATATTTGTTTTAAAATACACACACATATTCATAACAAAATAAGGAGGAATACTCATGACAGTTACAGTCCCCATATCTGTAACTGGTCACATGATCATAGCTGGTATTTATAACTACCTTCCTCCACTACCCATACTATATTCCCTTTGCCTTTGGTAAACACCTCAGCTGGTGGTGGTTCTTTATACACCGAAGTGATACAAACCTTCATTCCCGAAGGATCTGGGCCATTAGTAGTCCTGCCTGGATTGGGTTGTTGTTTTCTAATGACCTTAATCGCAAGGAATGGTAATACTAAGAGCCTTCTTAAGGGATCTCCTGTATTCCAGACATACTCTTCCATATCTCTGTCGTGGTGTAGAAGTACAGTTTCCTCTTGGTGGTCAGGATCAATTGTCCCAGCCAGCACAGTAACTCACTACTTTGCCTGCTGAGTCAGAGGCATGAGGAGTCCAAAGTGGCCAGACAGCAATTTTAACTTTCAGCTCAATGGAATCATTATTGTGTCTCCTGGTGGAAGCATTTTTCTCTCTGGCCTAAGATCTCTAAGCCAATAGAGCATTAGGTCATGGGAACAAGAAGCAAAAATTTTTCTAGCGGGTCACTAGGGATAATAATGAGTAGAGCTGCTCCCATTCCCACCCCTTGACTCATGAATCTTAGCTTTAGGAGACATAGCGACATATGTTGGACACTGATTCAGAGCATTCACAACCTTCTGGAGAAATTCGGCCCAGTCCCGCAACGTATTGCCATCTAGTGGATGCTGTAACCGAGTCTTCAAAAGGCCATCCCACCATTCCACCAAGCCAGCTGCTTCAGGATAGTGGGGAACAGGTAAGGCCAGTGAATTCCATGAGCACGGGGACATTGCCACACTTCTTTTGCTGTGAGGTGAGTTCTTTGATCAGAAACAATGCTGTGTAGACTACCATGATGGTAAATGCAGTATCCTGTAAGTAGGATGGTAGTTCTGACAGAAGCATTGTGTGCCAAGAAAGCAAATCTGTATCCAGAGAATGGATCTGTTCCAGGAAGAACAAGATGCTGCCCCTTCCATGATGGAATTGGTCCAATGTAATCAACCTGCGACCAGGCAGCTGGCTGAGCACCCTGGGGAACAGTGCCATATCTAGGACTCATTGTTGGTCTCTGTTGCTGGCAGATTGGGCACTCAGCAGTGGCCATAGCCAGGTCAGCCTTGTTGAGTTGAAGTTCATGTTGCTGAGCCCATGTATAACATTCATCCCTGCCACCATGGCCACTTTGCTCATAAGCCCATTGAGGTGACAGGGGTGGCTGGGAAAGAGGCTGACTGGTTTCCATAGAAAGGGTCATCCTATCTACTTAATCATTAATATCCTCCTCTGCTTAGGTCACCCTTTGGTGAGCATTCATATGGGACTCAAATACCTTCATGTTTTTGTCTATTCAGAGACATTTATCTATATCCCTCTTCCCTAGATTTCCTTGTCACCAAATTTCTCATCATGTTCCTTCCAAGTCCCTGACTATCCAGGAAAACCACTGGCCACAGCCATGAACGAGTATATAATCACATGTCAGGCCATATCTCCTTCCAAGCAAAGTGAACAACTTAGTTCAATGCTCAAAGTTCTGTCCACAGGGAGGGTTGAATGTAGCAATTTGGCCCTTGCCATCCACAGATCCTACTGCCCTTAGGTTTCCCGATTCAGTGACTACGGTCCCCACTGTAAGGTCTGGTGTACAGAGAAGACCAGTCACAGAACTCTTTAAGAATGCTGGGGCTCCTCTCTCAAATTTATTTCTCGCAGTAGTGATGACTGGTATATCTTCTGAGCCCTCCAGTGTGGGTAAGTAGGTCTTAAATGACAAATCCAGTCTAATATTCCAAACTCCCTAAGCCTTTGAATCCCTCCCTCTACATTAAACCAAGGCATGTCTACCATTTCTAATTTCTAATTTGCTCATCGTGGGCCCCTTTTTGATCCATGTTTCAGCCAACAAAGCAGGCAAACTGCTAGAGCTCTTCCTAACACTTCAAGCTGCAATATTAAATGAAGAATTTCCGCTTAGAGAGACCGTAGCAACACATGTGGCCAGATCCAACTTTATGTTTCTTCCACCACTATCCCACACCTTAATATCCATTCCCAAACATATTCTCCAGATTTCTTTCTGTACAAATTATAAAACTCAAATTAGTTCTTTTGGAGTATAGCACACCTTCTCATGGGTTACACTTTGCATCTCACTTTTAGGGCTGCTGGGACTTGAGTCTAGTTATAGGTCTAGAAGCAGAGAGGGGTAGTGGGAGTGGGTTATGAGGAGAACTCACATTGCCTTGTTTGGCAATTGCCTCAGGGGAGGCCATTACAGTTTCCTCAGACAAGTCAGGGTTAATCCCCTCAGATAGGGGTGAAAAGATGGCTACCACTGGGGTAGGGAAGCTACTTCTAATGGGGATGGTGTTAAGAAGGACTTTCACACTTTCTTTTCATTTGCATTGTTTGAATTGTTTTACCAGAATGTATTAAAGTGTTACGTGTGTGATTGAAAATAAATACAAATCCAGAAAAATCCTCACTGGATTCAATAAAATATTCCTGTTCATTGTTCAAGGAAAAAACTTTTTTTTAAAGGAATGAAATGTCATGATCACTAAATGTTCTTATATTGAAAGAAGAGCTTTAAGAATATCTGTAGCTTACATTATGAGCTCCATGCAAAGGTACAATAAAACTGGATTTTTAGTTTGGAATTGATTTTTCTAGGTTGAATGGAGCTCTGGTAGTGGCTTTTAATTGTTCTCTGATTAAATACAGCTAAAAGTATCTACTCAGGTTGTCAGTGGGAACCACTAGGGCAAAGGGCAAGAGTTAAATGGGAGAGACTTCTTCATAAGCTAATTTTTGAGAATGATTTTTTTTTTTTTGCATACTCCTGAGATGGAATACAATTTTTCCCTGATAGACCTAGAGGCTGTTGGGAAATAAAGTGTGCTAACAATGATTAAGGTATATAACACCTTTCGGATACTTAATATGTGCCAGGCTCTGTGCTAAGAGCCTTACATACATTATCCCATTTAATCCTAACATTCCTATGCAGAAGGCATTGTAATTGCCCTCTTTTTCAGACTAGGAGAGGTGAAGTAAATGGCTCAAGGTCACACAGCAGTAAGTGGTTAAGCCGTGATCCAAACAGAGATCCTTGCTCTTGCCCTTCTCCATGAGAAATGAGGCCTATCTCTGACCTCAAGAACAGGAGCAGACTACCTGGCAGGAAATGTAAAGTGATGATGAGGTTAAATTACACCTCTTTCCACCTGTTGTTCTCCAGAGAAGGGATCCCCAACCCCCAGGCCACGGACAGGTACCAGTCCGTGGCGTGTTAGGAACCAGGCCGCACAGCAGGAGGTGAGCAGCGGGTAAGCAAGCGAAGCTTCACCTGTATTTACAGCCGCTCCCCACTGCTCGCATTACCCCTGAGCTCCACCTCCTGTCAGATCAGCAGCGGCATTAGATTCTCATAGGAGCCCGAACCCTACTGTGAACTGCGTGTGCGGAGATCTAGGTTGCACACTCCTTATGAGGATCTAATGCCTGATGATCTGAGGTGGAGCTGAGGCAGTGATGCTAGCGCTGGGGAGTGGCTGCAAATACAGATTATTATTAGCAGAGAGGTTTGACTGCACAGAGACCATAATAAACCAATTGCTTTCAGACTCATATCAAAAGCCCATCAGTGAGTGGCAAGTGAAAACAAGCTCAGGGATCCCACTGATTCTGCATTATGGTAGTTGTATAATTATTTTATTACATATTACAATGTAATAATAATAGAAATAAAGTGCACAATAAATGTAATGCGTTTGAATCATCCTGAAACCATCCCCCCTCACCCGCCCCCATCTGTGGAAAAATTGTCTTCCACGAAACTGCTCCCTGGTGCCAGAAAGGTTGGGGACCACTGCTCCAGAGCACTTGCCTGCCCAGCACTTGATCTTAAGGTCTGGGGCCCAGCCCCTCCCAGACGGTGGATCTGGTTTTACTCAGGCCCTATGTCAGCACCCAGGAGAGAGGCCAGTTCTGGAGTATATACGGTATACTATTATGTGAGAGATTCCTCAGGCACTAAATAAGGAAATGAATGTTTTCTTCTATCAAGACCAATGTTTTCTTCCTCCAACCAAGACCAATAGGAAAAAACAGGGCTGCACATCAATAAATCAAGCATGTTTTATCCGCTGGGAGGGGGATGCCCAGTATGCAGGATTAAAAGGATATTGAGGGCTTCCCTGGTGGCGCAGTGGTTGAGAGTCCGCCTGCCGATGCAGGGGACACGGGTTCGTGCCCCAGTCCGGGAAGATCCCACATGCCGCGGAGCGGCTGGGCCCGTGAGCCATGGCCGCTGAGCCTGCGCGTCCGGAGCCTGTGCTCCGCAACGGGAGAGGCCACAACAGTGAGGCCTGCGTACCGCAAAAAAAAAAAAAAAAAAAAAAAAAGATATTGAGTACACCTACAGCAAAATTGCCTCATTTTACAATTGAGAAATCCAAGGGCCAGAGAGGAAAGTGATTTGTTCATGGACTTTCTACCGACAAGGGTATAGTTGGGAGTAGAGGCCAGATCTCCTGGCTCCTGGCTGAGTGCTGTTTTTCCATCATGTGTCAGGATGAAGGCCTTGGGTCCTTCTGGCTGAGATATGCAGTGGGGTTAACAAAAGTGCGAGGGGAAATAATAATACAGGTGACCAGGCGGGGGTTGGAAACACAAAGAACAGGAAATCATTTAGGATCAGAACAGAGCACCTCATCAAAGCCAGAAACGCAGGAGAGGGTCACACATTCTGCAGCACGCCTTGCCACCAGGGCCAGGACCACAGTGTAAGAGTGAGAACGGCACCAGCTGGCACAGGCTGAAAAGCTACAGGGCATCTACAGGGCAGGTGGAAAGAAATGCACTTACTGGAAAGGGCTTCGGTGAAGACAGCCAGTTCTTGGGAAGATATCCCAGGCCTGGAGAAAGGAACAGACAAGGAGTGAGTCCGGGGGAGCAAGCCCCTTATGGAAAACGCCGTGGGCTCTGTCAACTTAAGGTCATTGGTGGGTCAGAGCTACAGCTAGGATGGTAACCCAGGTGGAGTCCAGGGACTCTGAGGAAAAAGCTTTGACTCTGGGGTATAGTAGGGATCGAAAACTGAAATGCCTTCAGTAGCTGGAGGCATAATAAAAATAAATGATGTGAGTAGGGTGACTAGAAGCCTTTGCCCCACTACCCCTGTCCATCCCTCTGAAAAAAAAATATATATTAATAACTACCAACTTAAAGAAAGATGGATTTCTAGGTTGTGACTAAGTTGAGTCTCATATCATAGTTGAGAGTGGTGGAAACTGTGGCAAATAGACAATCTTCCCAGCAAACAGGGCAGCTGCTTTTCAGTCCCAGCAAATTTCTGATCTGTCAGAATGCAAAGTCAATACTGCTAGCTTTCCAACTTCCCAATAGACACTAGAAATCTAGACGTTTATGTGTAACCTCCTGAGTTTTTACTGTTGGCAACACATTCAAATATTTTAAACCTGTGCAGACTAGGCACAGGTCCTATCCTAGAGCAGGAGGCGGGGTGGGGTGGAGTTTATATCCAAGGATCAAAAGAAACAGGCCCTGCTTCCCTAAGGGTCCTGAAGCAGATCGCCAGCTTAAAGGAAGGTTCATACTGCTACAAATCCCATATCTAGGTCTAAATCCTCATCCCTTGTGGCCAGACAGGTTTTGGAATTCAGCAGTTTTCAGGTTTTTAATTTTCAGATTTATGGGCCCCAGAGAACTCTGAGGCAGTACCCTATTAACAAACACATCAATTTTTCTGTAGCAAAGCATATACATTTTCAGAAATCAAGTGAGATAAATAAAGAGTATAAATAATCTCACATAAGTTCCAGTCAAGTTTTGCCACCAGATGAGACAGTTGCAAACTTATGAAAAAAATATTTTTTCAAATTCATTGGGATTTCAGAATTACTGATAGGAGATTGTGGACCTATTATAAGGGAGAGACAACCAATGAGTAATGGGTACATACTCCATTAATTAACAGACACACAGAATTTATGCCTGATGACCTCTACCCTTTGGAAAGTATGTTTGTATCTTTGCTAACTGGCAACATCTCTGCTATCTCCCCTTTGGCTCCAGGGGAGAGGTAGTGTTTTGCCCTTTACCACCGGCCCCCTAGCTGGGGCAGGTCCTTCCCTTAATCACCTCAGCACAGCTGAGACAGGCTGTCAGGGAAGTTTAGCACAGGCAGTCACGCCCTTCCAGATGCTCTTAGAAGAGGCTTCTCTCAGAGACGCCACCCCCAGTGCGCCCTGCCTTGACTGCCTCCCAGTTGGGCTCCCAAATATCTTGATACCTCAAGGTCCACACCAAACTCTCAACAAGGACCCAAACCAGGGGAAAAGTTCTCCTTCCTCTCTAGTTCCCCCCCTCCATGCTGAAGTTTTACACCCCAGGAATTTATAATTGTGGACCTATTATAAGAAGGGCAGACAGCCAATGAATAATGGGTACACACTCCATTATTTAGGTGGATGACTGCCAGTGGAATTATGTTTCCCTTCAAAAGAATTCCCACCCTAACCCTCAGGGCTTTGGTTATCCTGAGCTCCACCCCCTCTCACCCCTCAGGACAATTACAACATAAAACCTAGTATCAGCACAATCTGGATTATGGAATCTCAGTGGGTGTATCCACAATCCACTCTGTGCTACACTGGACCTAGTCCAGCTCACTTCAAAGTCCCAGAGGAAGATCAGGTGTGCATATCTCTCCTGCAGCTTTAGAGGTTCTGCTCCTGAGTCTCTGTGCATTACTCCACAAAGAAGAACATATACACATCTCCAGCGATAATAACCAAACAGAGCACAGTCTAAATCCAAATATGGAAAAGAATCCTTTCTCCTGTGGAAGACGCAATTCTGCAAGGTCTTGGCTTTGCTAAAATACCTCTTTGGGGCAAGACACACCAGATTTACTTTACAAAATAAAGCACTTGGTTTAGCTTCTCAACATCTCTACTCCGATAGCCTCAGTCTCCCTCAGTAACAATATTTTTGTGTCTCTAGATGTAGAAGCATTCCAAAACAACATACCCAAACGGAAGTCTCTTCTTCCAATGAAGATTACTGTTGAAGAACTCATAAAAGAGTTCCTCCCATTTCCAGGCTACTGAAGGTTTATAAAGATCAGCGTACTAGTCTCAACACATTCCGGGTGTGTGTTTGTGTGTGTGTGTGTGTGTGTGTGTGTGTGTGTGTATGTATTGTAATCAGTAAGTAACTGTGGGTGATACATGATAACATGTGAATATCCTATTGCTCAATAATCCTGCAAATGGCATTATTTCATTCTTTTTTATGGCTAAGTAGTATTCCATTATATGTATGTACCACATCTTCCTTATACATTCATCTGTTGATGGACACTGAGGTTGTTTCCATATATTGACAATTGTAAATAATGCCGCTATGAACATTGGAGTGCATGTATCTTTTTGAATTAGTGTTTTAGTTTTTTGAGGGTATATACTCAGAAATAGAATTGCTGGGTCATATGGTAGTTCTATTTTTAGTTTTCTGAGTCACTTTGGAATCATGGGTTCTTTTCTAACTCAAGATAATATAACCATTACCATCATTATTCTTTTTGATGGTCAACTTATCACAAACTTGGCCAGCGGGAACAACTTTAAGCTAGCTCCTATATCCTCTGACATGTCCCCATTAATTGTGAGCACTTCCTCACATTTGTGCACCGGATGTCTCCAACTTACTGTGTACTTTCTGTATCCCAGACTTGGAATCAGCCATTTCTCCAAAGAACCTGAGTTCCTTTCAGTGGAGAACAATATTTAGAAGTCAGCATCTGCATACTAGGTATGCCCAATGTTATTGAAATATTATTGCTTCTAGACTTTTCAGGAGCCTAGAAAATAAAAATTTCAGAGCTAGAAAATATTAAACCATGAGTTAATATTGATAACTCCAATGCAAATCAAATCAAAATTTTAAGAAAATGATTCTTCCTAACCTTCTCCTATTACAACTGGTATCTCCCTTCTGCCATAGTGAGAAAAAGCCTGGTTTCCAACAATTTTTTCTAACCTATAATAGATACAAAATATTTTCAAAATTTCTTCACTGATATCATTATAAAAAACAAACCTAAGAAAAGATCAGTATTTCTCTGTAATTCTTTTTGTACTTAAAATACATTTTATTTAGGGAGTACACTGCTCAAAAGTCAGTTGAATTAATTCTTTCTTCTGAATGGCCATGGTATCAATTTGATAGTTTCATTAATTAGGTTAATTTGTGGCTGTTTGTGTCCAATGTTAGGACTTGCCTTTTAAATTTTTGTTGATTTAATATGCAAAACATTTAATGGTTCAAAAGTGAAAACTATATAAAGCACTAAGCTCAAAGAACTTGCATTTCATTTTCAACATTTTTGTTAGTTGCTGCTTTATCCTTCCCATATTTTTTAAAATTATAAGCAAATATATATGTAGTCTTATTTATCTCCTTTTCATATGTTTACATTAAATATACTCTTTCATACCTTGCTTTTTTTCATTTAACAAAATATTCCTTGAAAACACTCCTTATCAGTACATAGAGATCTTTGCTGCATAGTATTCCATTGTTTGGATGTACCATCATTTGTTCAACTAATCTTATATAGATGGGCATTTTAGGCAGTTCTCTATTTCTTCTCTGAAAATTGATTTGTTTAAACTTTAGTGACAATTTTGGAAATTTTTATTTTCCAAGGGAATTATTTATTTCAACTAGGTTTTCAAATGTATTTGCATGAAACTGTGCAGAGTGGTGTCTTAAATGTTTAACATTTTCTTCTCTTTCAATGCTTACATATCCCTTGTCATTTCTTGTTTTGTATATTTTCTCCCTTGTTTTCTTTTCATGATTAGGTTAGCTGGTGGTTTGTTTATTTAATTGTTTTTTCAAAGAACAATTTAGATTATTTTTCCCAAAGATTTATTTATTTTTCCTATTGTAATAATTAATTTCTGCTTTCTAATCTTTATTATTTTCTTCTCCCTGTTTTCTTTTGGTTTATTTTACTCTTCTCTTTCTAGGTTTGGAATTGAAATTTTAGTTCATTTATTTTTCGATCTTCCATTTTTACTGATAATATTATTTTAGGCTATTGATTTTCCTCCTATCACTGCTTTAACTGTTAATTCTTCCTCTAACTTCTATATTTCCTATAAAGTAGACTTAGATCTAGAAGCCTGATTAGATTTTTATCCAAGAATACTTCACCAATGGTGTTGTGTGCTTCAAATTACATTTTACCACGAGGCACACATTACCAGTTGTTCTAGTTTTATTGTTGCTAAAGGTCTTCGGATTCTGGTGGTGTCGGCCAATTTTCTCCACTTTAACGTTCCCTATCAACATTTTACCTAATATTTTGGGTAGCTAGATAGTCTTTATTTCATTAGAGGTTGCAAAATGGTGGAGGGCTATTCTATCACTGCTTCTTTATTCATTAGCTGAAATTCATCTATAAAAGAGGACTTTTCCTCATTAATTATTTCATTTATATGGGAAAGGTAGGATCCTTGATGTTTTTCCCTTGATTCATCAATGTTTAGAGTAGTGACTTAGTAATCTAGCAACCTCCAATGGTAACCAGTGTGTTTTTAAAGCATCATCATGAATTCAGATTTATATATATTTGATGTTTCAATCTGTTGCAGTCATTATTCTGTTTTTACTTAACTTTAAAATTTTTACACTTGTATCTCTTTTCTCTTGCTGTGGAAATCTAAGTTTCTAATAGCATTAACACAACTATTTGTTGTTTTTCCTACATCATGTCACTATTAGTGTTACAAAAAAGAATGCAATATAAAATTTCTTTGTGGTTCTGTTCTTCTTTAGACTATACGCCACTAAGGGTATCCTATATTTTTAAATAAGGAATTAT